TGTTACATGCACCTTCGACTTTGCCAGCGAATCTCAGTTGAATCCGGTCATTTTCAGCTGAATCCTTCAGAAAAATCAGGACTCCATCCAAAAACCAAGCTTGGAGTTTTAGATCCCAGACACTTGTTTGAAAGTTGGATCCTTACAGGTGGTTCTCGACTTACGACCGCAATTGAGCCCCAAAATGTCTGTTGCTAAGCGAGGCAGTTGCTAAGCGAATTCTTCCCCCATTTTACAATCTTTCTCGCCACAGTGGTGAAGGGAATCTTAACTGCAGTCGTTAAGTTAGTAACGCGGTTGTTAAGCGAATCTGGCTTTCCCCCACTGACTTTGCTTGTCAGATGGTCGCAACAGGGAATCACATGACCGCCGGAAGCAGTTGTTGGGCGCTCGAATTTTGATTGCGTGACCGTGGCGATGCTGTGACGGTCGTAAGTGTGAAAAATGGCCACAGGTCGCTTTCTTCAGTGCCGTTGAAACTTTGAACAGTCACTAAACGAATGGTGGTAACTCGAGGACTACCTGTAGGTGGAACATACCAGCAAAGTGTCGTGGTGTTTATTAGTCTGGCATAACCCGGGTAAAACTTTTCTGAGGGTAACAAGCGAACAAGTGTAGTGAACACAGGAAGCAAAAATCAAGAATTCATTAACTCAGGGGTCTTCAAACTTGGCCCTTTTATGACCTGTGGACTTCAACTCCCAGAATTCCTCAGCCAGGCATGCTGGCTGAGGAATTCTGGGAGTTGAAGTCCGCAAGTCATGAAGGGGCCATAGTTCCCCCACGCTGGCTGAGGAATTCTGGGAGTTGAAGTCCGCAAGTCATAAAAGGGCCCAGTTTGAAGACCCCTGCATTAACTCATGCTTGGCTGATAGTTGAGTGATCAGATGGCCTAGAGGTGAAGAGACTCACCTCCCACTCAGAAGGTTGAGAGTTCAATCCTCTGCAGCGACAGAGACTCTATCGGGACAAAGAGAAAATATCTGTTGCAAACTCCACATAGGCATCAGGAAGGGCATCCGGCCAGTAAAGGCTGAGCTACATTCAGTCGCCCCCATCCTGAAGCACGGAATTAAAAGGGGGTAAAAAGAAAAGAAAAGAAAGCTTAGCTAATAGTCACCTCCATGTAGACCTTTTGGCAGCAATTGGAAAGTGTTTTGTCATTGCCTCCTTTTTTCCAGTTTAAATTTAGAGTTGGGATTTGAGACCTGGTGGTCTCCCATCCGAGAATAAATTAAGTTCAACCCTTCTTAGCTTTTTTTTTAAGACCAAGAGAGGTTGAGAAGGGTGGTGGGTGCATGTGTACCTGCATTATGTGTTTATAATCCTTTTAGTGTAGGTACAACTCCGATGACTACGGAGATATGGTTATGTAGCTTTTATAGCACAAAGTTTTTCTGCTATTTTTCCTGAAAATGCCTCTCCTTTTCCAGCAGTGGTTCCTAGCTCTATTAGGCTGGAGAAAAGATCTGAGGGCCTCTAATGCAGGGGTCCCCAATCCCCGGTCCGTGGACCAGCACCGGTCCACGGCCTGCAGAAATCAGGCCGCACAAACAAGTGAAGCCCCGTCTGTGGGATGCAGGCAGCACACGAAACTACGGCCCCTTCAGTCTGTGGAAAAAACCTCTCTCCACAGAACCAGTCTCTGGTGCCCCAAAGGTTGGGGGCTGATGCTCTAGTGCAGGGGTAGGCAACCTTGGCTCTTTTATGACTTGTGGACTTCAACTCCCAGAATTCCTGAGCCAGCATGGCTCAGCTTAGAAACCTCTCCCTTTCCCCTCAGCATGGCTGGCTCAGGAATTCTGGGAGTTGAAGTCCACGAGTCATAAAAGAGCCAAGGTTGCCTACCTCTGCTCTAGTGCACGTGAATATATCCTTACACACGCTTGCTAAAAGCTCTGGAGCATTTCTGATTTTATTTCAGAATTTAGTCTCAGTCTCCTGAATTATTGTGCTATCACAAAGGACTGGAATTTAAAGAAAAATATTGTGATGGATGAATGACCTCTAGAAATTTTCCATCAGTGGGGTTTTATATGTGTCAGAGCATTAGAAATCCAGCACGGCTGCTCTTAATTTATTTAAACCTTGATCATTTTTCTGCTCTCCGTCATTTGTGATATTTTACTTTGTTCTCTAGTGCGTTTGGCCTCATTTCTGTTGCTTTTCTGAGCATTTCCACTCGGGGGGGGGGTCCCTCCAGTTTCTGTGACCTCGCTCAACTTTGCTGTTTACCTTAATTTTGTAACCCGTGTTTCTGCCGGCTCTCTTTCAGACTTATATCGAGAAGTACAAGTTCACAAGCGTTGTAGCCCAAGATCTGTTGGATTCTTTCTTGGCGTTTTTTCCAGACCTGAAAGAACAATGCATTGATTGCAAAACAGGTGAGGAAGAGGATCTTGACACAATGTAACACACACACACACACACACACACAAAGAGACAATCTTAGCAGTGCTGCCCAGATGGGGGAGACAAACTGCAGGTAATCCTCGGCTTACAACCACAATTGGGCCCAAAATCTCTGTTGTTAGCTGAGTCATTTGTTAAGTGAGTTTTGTCTCATTTTACAACTTTTCTTGCCACGCTTGCGAAGTGAATCCTCGCAGCTGATAAGTTGGTAACCTGGTTGTTAAATGAACTTGGCTTCCCCATGGAGTTTGCTTGCAAGGAGATCGCAAAAGGGGATCACGTGACCCCGGGACACTGTGACCGTCATAAATATGAACCAGTTGCTAAGCGCTTGAATGTTGATCACGTGACCTGGGGATGCCCGAAATTGTAGAAGTTAGGGCATTAATTGATTCTGGGTGCACCTGCTGCCTTATCAGCCCAACACTAGTCGTGTGAAAAAGACTTAAGCCATAAGTCCCTTTTTTTCAATGCCGTTGTTCACTAAGCGAACTGTTGTAAGTCGACTCCCTGTACACAGGCGTGACAACATACCCAACTAACCAAGCTGCAAAATGCTAAGCTAGTGATGGCGAACCTTTTAGAGACCGAGTGCCCAAACTGCAACCCCAAACCCACTTATTTATCGCAAAGTGCCAGGGCCGCATCGGCATTGTATTGCCCTCGGGAGGGGGGGGACGACAGGGAGGCACCTCTGCGTGCCGCCTCTGGCACGCAAAAACTGGGGGCACAAAAATGGGCCCCCATACTGCAAGGCGCAAAAATGGCCGCCGCCACGCCGCAGGGTGCAGATACAAGGCGCTGCACCACGTAAGAACGGGGGCAGGGCTAGTGAGTATCACGCAGGCACTAGCCCCGCCCCATTTGCAGCACATGCGTGCTCGTGGCCCCGTGCACACATGCACGCATGTAAAATGCTTCCCCCTCCCTTTTCTTCCAGTCCACCAATCGACAATGGTTGGTGACCTCTGCTCTACCACCTCTACTCAAGCTTGCTAGTCGGCCGCTTCGCCTCCTTTGTGCTGGGTGGGGCTCCTGCTCTGGGCGGCGGGGGCAGCCTGATGGACCTGCTGCTGGTGGCGGTGGCACACGTGCCTACAGAGAGGGCTCTGAGTGCCGCCTCTGGCACGCGTGCCATAGGTTTGCCACCACTGCGCTAAGCCCACATCAGGCTTGTTGACCGTGTTCTACAAACGTCAGCCAGATGACCTGTTGGAGAAAGCTTTCCGTATGAGCCCTGATTGAGAGATCACACTCAGTCTGTACACCTGTGGGCACGTTTCTCCAAGTTGATCCTTGTCGGCCAATCTGTTGCAGGGCTCGAGTTTGACCGCTGGCTCAATGCCACGGGGCCTCCTTTAGTCGAACCAGACTTATCTCAGGGATCCAGCTTGACCGAGCCGGTGGAGACGCTGTTCCATCTCTGGACCACGGAGCCTCTGGACGCAGGAGCTGCTGCGAACAGCGTCGACATCGCCGAGTGGCAAACATTCCAAACGGTGCTTTTCCTGGATAGGTTACTGGATGGGTCGCCCTTGCCACACGGTGAGTTTAATCACCTCGTTGGGTAATGAAGCGTCTGCAAGAAAACAACCCAGCTCAGAGAGCCCCCAAGGACCCCACAATTTCAACTCTTGGGTTACATAAATTCTCTTTTTATAAGTCTGATGGGTGTGTTCCGCTATGCTCACTTGTCCCCGCTGCTTTGATTATTGGTTACTTCCGGCTGTCCAGTGAAGTCAGGCAGGGTGGGCACACTTTGAGTCCTGTCGATTTAAGTACTGTCATCTTGCGGGACCGAGATTAGCGTTCCTTCTCTGAGCTGGTGCCTATCCTGTGGAATGAAATCCATATTGTTTTAGAATAACGGAATAACAGACTTGGAAGGGACCTTGGAGGTCTTCTAGTCCAACTCCCTGCTCAAGCAGGAGAACCTATACCAGGGGTAGGCCACCTCGGCTCTTTTATGACTCGTGGACTTCAACTCCCAGAATTCCTGAGCCAGCCATGCTGAGGGGAAAGGGGGAGGTTTCCAAGCTGAGTCATGCTGGCTCAGGAATTCTGGGAGTTGAAGTCCACGAGTCATAAAAGAGCAGAGGTTGCCTACCCCTGGCCTATACCATCTCAGCCAAATGGTTGTCCAATCTCTTCTTAAAAGCCTCCATTGTTGGAGCACCCACAGTTTCTGGAGGCAGGTCGTTCCACTAATTAATTGTTCCCACTCAAGAAATTACTCCTTAGTTCTAGGTTGCTTATCTCCTTGATTAGTTTCCATCCATTTTTTCTTTTTCCTGCCTTCTTTTTCCTGCTTTGGAGAATAGCTTGACCCCCCCCTCTTCTTTGTGGCAGCCCCTTAGATCTTGGAGCACTGCTATCATGTCCCCCCTCGTCCTTCTCTTCATTAAACTAGGCATACCCAATTCCATTTGAAGGAATGACTTTCCCGAAATTAGTAACATACAGGCTTGCACCCTTCATGGAGAGAGCATTATTTTCGTTGAATGGCCTCTAAATTGAATCCCAAGCAAATCAGATAAATCTTCTCTTTCACAGAGGTGATAACGAAGTTGTCTGAATGCTACTCAACCCAGCTAGAAAACATGAATGCTGAGATTCGTATCCGCTGGCTGCAGATCATCGTCCGCAACGATTATTATCCCGACCTTCATAAAGTCCGTCGCTTCTTGGAAAACCAGGTACCAGTTGCCGGGCGGAAAAGCTTCATGCTGCTCGGGGGGTGCGATTTTGGACAGGAAACCAGTTGATACACAAAGGACATGGGAAGCTCTGATGCTTGGACTTGGGAATAGATGTTTGCCAGGGAATTGCGCAACTGGTGTCCGAATGGAGTCAGAGACGCTGACAGGACACCAGTTTTATATAAATGTCTGTGGAGATTCTCAGTTATCCTGGTCATCGTTATCCGAAAGGTGCTTTTTCACGAGGCAGCTGGACTTTCCTGTTGGGTTTTTTTTTTCTAAATTTTTATTTTATTCAAATACAAATAATACAAACATAATACACATAGATCTAAATAAAAAACAATATAAAAAAATACAAATGCTACAGTGCACCCCCATCCCTGGGGACCATTTTTATTACCTATATTTCTTCTCATATAACAACTAACAATGTACAATATATTTCAATTGTGCCCTTATCCCTCCAAAACAGCATATATTCTTGAGCAGGTTTATTCCCTTTGCCTTCCACCAAAACTGCTTTTTATAAAATCATCCCATATCTCATTATAATTATTTACTTTAATCGTCCCTTTTTAAATTTAATTTCTGTTGTTAATTTATCATTTATTGCCATATTCCATATTTCATTATACCACTCATTTCTTTGAATAACCCAATTCCGTCTCCAATATTTAAACATCACTAATATAGCTGCCATTATCAAATTTACAATCAATTCCTTCTTTTGCTTCATTTACATCTTTTTTTTCCACCAGTAACAGTAATCCAATCCTCGGTGACATATCTGAAATTTACCTTCAAAAGTTCTCTAATTTCCCTAAACACCATGTCCCATATCTTTTGTGCGCTGTCACAGTCCCACCACATATGTTTATATGTTCTAATCTCTTTCTCGCACCTCCAGCAAATATTTGTATATTTAACATCTATTTGATTTAATTTACCTGGTGTTAGGTACCGCCTCCATATCACTTTATATCCATTTTCCTTAACTCTTATTAACGTTTTGCTTTTCATCCCAGAAGCTTCTTCAACTCTGACTGGAGGGTGGGGGAATGGAAGGATTTATACTCCTTGCAGACAGCTGGTCATTTGCCTCCTTTTAGAGAGTCGTTGAGGCCACTTGGAGGCTTATCTGTGTCCTCGGGGTCACCTGAGTGGTGCAAATGGGTGTGGAGCCTTCTTGGAACCGCTGAAAGGACTCTGTTGTAGACTGGAGATAGGAGGTGTCAGATCCCTCCCCTTCTGTTGAGAGAGGGCTGTTCAATTTAGGCCTCAACATAGGCCTCCAGGTGGTTTCAACGACCCTCTGAAAGAATGCAAATGACCAGCCGTCTGCAAGGAATATAAAGAAGCAAGGAAGCTTCTTCAGCTCTGACAGAAGGGTGGGGAATGGAAGGAGTTATACTCCTTGCAGACAGCTGGTCATTTGCCTCCTTTTAGAGAGGAGTTGAGGCCACTTGGAGGATTATCTGTGTCCTCCGGGTCACCTGAGTGGTACAAATGGGTGGGGAGCCTTCTTGGAACTGCGGAAAGGACTGTGTTGTAGACTGAACAACACCATCTATCTCCAGTCTACAACACAGTCCTTTCAGCAGTTTTGGGAGTCTTTCTTTTCTATTGACCAAGTTGGGACGGTTGACACTAACCTTTCTTGCCACAATGGTTAAGTGGGTAACACGGTTAGTTAAATGAACCTGGCTTCCCCATGGACTTGGCTTGTCAGAAAGTCGCCAAAAGTGATCACATGACCCTGGGACACTGCAACCGTCATAAATACGAGTCAGTGGCCAAACATCTGAATGTTGACATCATATGAGCATGGAGATGCTCCAATAGTCAGTCGTAAGTGCCGTTTCGGTGCCGTTGTAACTTGGAAATGAGTCACTAAACGAACTGTTGTAAATCAAGGTTTACTTGTATGCTTCCCAGCTTTTCCTTTGGGGAGTTGTCCACTAGGTGGCAGCAGAGAGGTTTCCGGGGCCTAGCGGACATTATTGGACCACAGCCCAGCTAGAAAAGCCAGCTTTATGGCTGATGGCTATGGCTGATAAGGAACTTTGGTTGGGAATTTTAGGGAGAAAAAATCAGCCTTTGACCACTTAATCCAGAGGTCTTCAAACTTGGCCCTTTTATGACTCGTGGACTTCAACTCCCAGAATTCCTCAGCCAGGCACGTTGAGGAATTCTGGGAGTTGAAGTCCACGAGCCATAAAAGGGCCAGGTTTGAAGACCCCTGTCTTAAATCGAACAAACAAAATGGAGGCTGGCTGAGGAATTCTGGCAGTTGAAGTCCATAAGTTATAAAAGGGCCAGGTTTGAAGACCCCTGACTTAATCTGTCCATGGTCCCAGATTTGTGTTACTACGATGATCAATACGAGACTCTTGGGATGACCCCGGGCTCCTTCTGCTTGCATTACAGATGTCCCGGATGTACACAATTCCACTCTACGAGGACCTCTGCACTGGAACCCTCAAGTCCTTCGCCCTAGAGGTTTTTTTCCAGACCCAGACCCAGCTCCACCCAAACCTGAGGAAAACCATTCATCAGATCCTGACCCAGGGCTTGAACCCGCCGCTTCTTGCCACGACGGACACGGCTGCCATGGTGGTGGACTCTCCGCCCGCCGAGCTTGAGGACAGGGGAGCCACGCACAGTGCCGTTTCTCTCAGGGACGTCAATGTGTCTGCTTAGCTCTCCAGCTCATGCGGGATCTTGGAACCTGGAAGGGCCAGCCAGAATGGCGAGCTAGGACTACCCTCTGGCCCTTGGTGCCATTGCTGGGGGGCGGCGGCCGGGGGGGGTCTGGATTATTACTTTTTTAAAAAAATTCCTCCCCACATGTACATCGAGAGTCCTACGTGCCTTCAGGTGCCTGACCCCCCCCCCCCTTAGGCACAGCAAGATATCAGGGATGTATCTTTTTCTAACTCCAAGCAGCGACCGGGAGCAAGCGACCGTTCGGCCTCGTTGCATCATGAATGTGGACATCAGAATTGATTTTTGTGTCTGCCAACAAAAGCCGCATTTCCAGCACGCGATGAGTTTTTCCTTTGTCGCTCTCCAAGCCTTGAAGGGGGCAGAGCCTTCACCTGGGTCCCAGGCCGTCCACGCACGAAGGAAAGAAGAAAAAAAACTGATCAGGATCATGGTAAATGTTGGAAGGGCGGGCTTTGTCCCGTTGTACGCTGCGGCGCTCGTGACCCGGAATCCTAAAAGAACGGAACGTTTTCTTCCAAGCAGCGTCCGGATTTCAGGAAACTGGTGTAAATGGTTAAGGGTCAGGTATTAAAAAGAGATTGGGGTGGGGTTTGCAGGCTGAGGGTGAGCTTTGATAGAGATGGGGAGGGGGAGAAGCCAACCCTTGGGCCGGGGGGGGGGGTATGGTAGGAACATGGGTGTTAACACTGCTTTGCTTTCCTTGGAGACCAGCAAGCGCAGTGGTTACGGTGTAGTAGGCCCACTCTGCCCAACAGGGATGGGAAAGGCCTTGCAAGATTGCGCCACGGACGTCAGTGGCCAATCACCAAATGCAGCACTGCGATGTCCTTTTCTTTCCACAAAGGTAAAAGAGGAGTGGTTAATTTTTGCAAAACAACAACAACACAAAAGCCTGTCCTGAGACTGCTGTAAACGTACTGACCTGTCTTCACATTCTTGCACATCCTTCACATCTGTGGATGGTGCCACTGGTGGTTTCCAGCCCCTTTGTCCATTTTCCCTGCGCACACAAGCTCACACAACCCTTTTCGCGTGTTTTTACTAAAGCCAACTCTGGGATTTCTTTCTGTGTGTACCTCCCTTGTTCAAGAATAATATTTATTCTCTGTACCCAGAAAAGATGTTTAGAAAACCCCCTTAGGTACCACTCTTGTGTCCAGCTCTGGCAGAGAGGATGCCTGTCTCACTGCCTCCTATTTGGGGAACACTGGTTCCAGAACCACCAAGGTGCTCAAATTCTCTGTCTCCAGCTCCTTTCCTCCGTTCCCCCCGAAATATATTTTCACCTGGGGCGAGTTGGGGCTTCAGACCAAAGGACGAGAAGCAATAACGAAGTCAGACTCCAAAGTTGCTTGACATGGGCTGTGATCATTTGGCGTAGCGGCTCTGGGGTTCCTCCGTTATTTGGCAACGCGCAGGGCTCCTGTCTCCCCAGAAGCACCTTCCACTTTTAAGGTGTTTGATTGGCAGCACTTTTGACACCTGCTCCAGTCTGGCCGATAAACCGCAACCACTACACACTCTGTTACCCTGCATTTTTTTTCTTCCAGGAGAATGTATGCAACCAGGGTGGAAATCCCTTGGAGATGTACCTGGATGCCTTACAATAACATCACTTATAAATGTTGAATTAAACTAAAGTTTGTGACTTTGGGAGGTTTTGTGCTTTTCTTTCCCCCCCCCCGGACATTGACGGTATCACCCGGACATGACAGGTAGTTCTCGACGTACGACCACCGTTGTTAAGCGAATCACTGCAGTTGTTAAGTTAGTAACCCGGTTGTTAAGTGAATCTGGCTTCCCCCACATTGACTTTGCTTGTCAGAAGGTCACAAAAAGGGGATCCCATGACGGTCATAAGTGGCCGAGGCTGAACTGCTGCAACCGAGCACATAGAAAGGGTGGGGCTCTGTGTGGCAGCCATCTTGACTTTTGTGACCTCCCATGGGCAGACCCGACACCATATTTTGAAAAACTCCTCATTGCGTGACATCTGCTTTTCCAACCGGTTTCAAAGCAAGCTTTTAAAAAGATTTTTTTTTCACATGACAATACAGTACACTAGACATGTCAAACTCGCGACGTCGTGTGGCGTTGCGCAACATCTCAGAGCTTCCCCCCCCCCATTGCCGGCAATGGGGTGGACGCGGTTTCCTGGTGATGCATCCGGCCCACATTTGAGGTTAAGCTTCGCTTTCCTTACTGTTACACTTAATTTCGCTGTGAGTTTGTTGTTAATTGCGAAGTCGTGTCCGACTCATCGCGACCCCCTGGACAACGTTCCTCCAGGTCTTCCTGTCCTCTACCATCTTTTGGAGTACATTGAAGCTCACGCCTATTGCTTCAGTGACTCCATCCAGCCACCTCATTCTCTGTCGTCCCCTTCTTCTATTGCCCTCCATCTTTTCGCTGTGAGTTACACAATGACAATAAAGGTATTCTCTTGTCACCAGTGTTGAGTGACACCAAATGAGGCGATCAATCGCTGAGGTGGAAAGGCAGTGCCTGTCCATGACACATTCCCTGTAAACTGATTTTTGTGAGAACCTTTAGTGAAGAGCTTGAACATCTGGAAAGTGGGAAGCAAAGGTAATGGGTGCACCTGAAAAGGTAAGGGGCAGCGGAAGGAAGAGCATTGATCCACAGAGAGGGGCTATGTGCCCGGTTGCATGCCTGCGTCTTCCCCAATACAGGGAGTCCTCAGCTTACGAGCACAATTGAGCCCAAAATTGTATCTTGCTCAGTGAGAAATGTGTGAATTGATTTTTGCCCCCTTTTACGACTTTCCTTGCTACGCTTGTGAAGTGAAACACGGCAGTTGTTAAATTAGCAACACCGTGGTTAAGTGAATCTGGCTTCCCCATTTGACTTGGCTCGTCAGGAGGGGATCACATGACCCCGGGACACTGCGACCGTCGTAAATATGAATCAGTTGTCAAGCATCCGAATGTAAATCGCCTGCGGCAGAGGTAAGTGCGGAAAGCAGTCATAAGTCACTTTTTCAAGCAACGTAACTTTGGCCACTAAACACACTGTTGTTAAGGTGAGGACCACCTGTATTAACATACCTTTTAGAAGATCCTTAACAAAGCTCCCTTCAGAACAGTGTTTCTCATACTCGGCAACTTTGAGATGTGTAGACCGCCTGCCAAATGTGGAGATTCTCAATCACCCAAGTCATGGTTGTCCCAAAGATGCTTTTTCAGAAGACAACTGGATTTCCGTTATTATTTTTGAAGACGTTTCGCTTCTCATCCCAAAAGCTTCTTCAGCTCTGATAGAATGGTGGGGAATGGAAGGATTTATACGCCTTGCAGACAGCTGGTCATTTGCCTTCTTTTAGAGAGTCGTTGAGGCCACTTTGAGGTTTTATCTGTGTCCTCAGGGTCAGCTGAGTGGTGCCTCAGTGGGTATATGGACTATGGAGCCTTCTTGGCACTGTCGAAAGGACTCTGTTGTAGATTGGAGATAGGTGGTATCATATCCCTCCCCCTCAACATAGATGACCTCCAAGTGGCCTCAACGACTTTAAAAGAATGCAAATGACCAGCTGTCTGCAAGGAGTATAAATCCTTCCATTTCCCCACCATCCAGTCAGAACTGAAGAAGCTTCTGGGATGAGAAGCGAAACGTCTTCAAAGAAAAAACAAGAAGGTCCAGTTGCCTCCTGGAAAAAAGCACCTTTGGGATGTCGACTGCTAGAATTCCCAGCTAGCACAGAGTTGAAGTCCACACACCTTAAAAGTTGCCGAGTTCGAGAAAGGCTGCTTTAGAAGTATTCTTGCAGAAATAATGAAACCATGCCAGGAAACAATTTCTCGAGAAATCTACAGTAACGGGTAGGCCTCGTGTTACAGCCACAATCGGGATCAGGATTTCCACTGCTAAGCAGGGCAGTTAATTGAACCCGTTACCTACTTTTAAAAAAGTTTTTTGGCAAAGTTGTGCAATTATTAAGTGATGCAGTCATTAAGTGAACCTGGCTTGCCCGATTGTCAGAAGCTGGCTGGGAAGATTACAAATGGTGATCAGTGGATCCAGGGACAATGCAACACCATCAAAAAGACGATACTAGTTGCCAGGCACCCAAATTTTGATCCTGTGACCCTGGGGATGCTGCAACAGTGGCAAAACTGGTCATGTGATTTTTTTTCATATATATATATATATACATATATACATATACATATACATATACATACATACATACATACATATATATATATATACACAAAATATATACAAAAAATACACACACACACACACACACAGAGTCCAGAGTTGAAAACTGGCCAAATCTGAAAAAAAGGTTCATAAAGATGAAATAATATTGGCTTATCTTTTATCACTTCGCTTCAAGGAAAATTCAGGAGCAACTGGTGGGAATCGCCACGTGCGAACTAAAAAAAGCAGGAACGGACGTTGACACACGGGCACCGCCCGCGCCTGCGCACTACGCCCGAATTCAGCCCCGGCAAAGCAAGCGGGGAGGCGGGCTCCTAGGGGCTGCTGGGAGACGTAGTTCTTTTCCTTCGGCAAAGGAGGCTGGGGGCCTGGGCGGCTCCTTGCTCCCGCTGCATGCTGGGAACGGTAGTTTCCTTAGTCCCCCAAGGTGGTGCCTTGGACAGATGCGCGTCCGGTGTTTGAGCTCGGCGGCGGCATCCGAGGCTCGGCCGCGGGGCTGGTGCGGATCGGGCCGGCTGGAGAGAAGGGACCCCTCTGCCGCGATTTGGGGAAAAGGTGGGCGTGTGGATGGGGAAGGGGCCGCCAGCTTTGTCTGCCCGTGAAGCTGGAGAGGAGGGAGAAGGGTTACGGGGAAGGGAGGGGTCGAATGAGATGCACCGGGGAAGATGGGGGTCCCTAAGAGAGCCTCCTTGCCTAGCAGCAGTCTATCCCTATGGGATGGTGGGATACAACCCTGCTGGGCTCATTCCCTCCCCGTAGCAGAGACGGGATGCGGACTGGAGGGGCCTCGGCCGCGATCAGCAGCAGGGGCGCTTGTGACCAAACAGCCGAAGGAAATAGAGTAACAGGATAACAAGAGTTGGAAGGGACCTTGGAGGTCTTCTAGTCTAACCCCCTACAAAGACAGCAGACCCTATACCATTTCAGACAAGTCTAGTCCAGCCAGACAAGTCTAGCTGTCCAGTCTCTTCTTAAAAACTTTCAGTGTTGGAGGGCTCACAGTTTCTGGTGGCAAGTAGTTCCAACAATTAATTCTTCTCACTGTCAGGGAAATACTCCTTTGTTCTAGGTTGCTTCTCTCCTTGATTAGTTTTCATCCATTGCTCCTTGTCCTGCCTTCAGGGGCTTTGGACAATAGCTTGACTCCCTCTTCTTTGGGGCAGCCCCTGAGATAATTGGAACGTTGCTATCCTGTCACCCCTCGTCCTTCTTTTCATTAAACTAGACATATCCAATTCCAGCAACCAAATCTGGCTTCTGATTCTGCAGTACAGGGCAGGTTTTCTGCCAGACCCCGGGAAGGAGCAGGGCACCTGTGGCCATAGCCGTATGGGTCTTGGTTCATAAATGGCCCAGGTGGCTGCAAGACAGCCTCAGATTTTGAGTTGAGTTGACCCAGTGGAACGGCTTGCCTTCAAGAGTTGTGGGAGCTCCAAAACTGGAGGTTCTTAAGAAGAGATCGGACAACGACTTGTCTGAAGTGGTATAGGGTCTCCTGCTTGAGCAAGGGGTTGGACTAGAACAGAAGTCCCCAACCTTTTGGGCACCAGGGACCGGTTCTGTGCAGAAAGGTTTTTCCACGGACTGGAGGGTGTGTGGTTTTGTGTGCTGCCTGCATCCCACAGATGGAGCTTTGCTTATTTGTGCAGACCGGTTGCTGGCATGATGCAGATCAGTACTGGTCCATGGACCAGGGGTTGGGGGCCCCTGGACTAGAAGACCTTCAAGGTCCCTTCCAACTCTGCTATTCTGTTATTCAGTTGGCTGCTCTTTCCCTGAAGTTGTGAGTCACTGGCTGTGGCTGTGGCTGCATTCCCACCATCATGGGTTTAGCTAGGTCGCTTAAAGATCTAGGAGCCACATTGGCAGAACATGCACAGTTTGATGATGATCACAACTCCAGCTATTCCTCTCCACAACCAGACTTTGATTGGTTATGAATTGTGTTTTATCTGCCACCTTTTCTATCTGCTCTATTTGTCGATTAAT